GCTCTAGATTCCTTATCCCCATTGTGGGCATCGATCGTCGAAAAGAATACGCCCACGCGCCTTTCCGTCAGCGAAAACGCTCAGATATGGAGCCCAGATTTCGCCTTCCAATGCTATGCTTTTTCTACACAATCCCATTCGTCAATTCCTCCCCTAGTGTCCCACTCTCCCGCACTTCATCGCGATCGATCTTGCATCGCGGTTTGCTACGAGCCGTAGCCCATGACCCTGACATCGTTGGTAGCCGTGCATCTGGCGGTAGCCATCGTGTTTCGCAATGTTTGATCTACTGATGATGGGTTTCCAGCTACCGCATCTCCAAAAGCCGGTTGTAGCTGGCATTTGCGCTAACGCACGGAGTGGTTCCGTGCCTAGCGTTCCACAGAATTTCATCGCAAGTAGCTCAGGCTCCTTTCAGTAGCTTTTGAGCTTCTTTGCTGGACAAACCGAAGACATTAATTAGGTAGTCGAGTCTGCCAACGTCGTCAGTACAAGCATTCTGGTCGATTAATCATCTTCACTCACTTGATGTCTCCTGCTATCCGCCTGCGCACAGCCTCGAACTCAACTTCAGCTTTGTCTCTTGTCGCATCCTGCCTCTTCGAATTAATCGTTTTGACACGCAGCTTGAATCTTCCGCTGACAGGACGGTGATCCGAGACTTTGATGGTGTCGTGTCGCCGGTACTCCAACTGCTTGATCCTACCCAAGCCGCGGTACAACAGCCGATCACACCATGCAGGTGACCGCTGCTTTTCAGAAGTATCGTAATTGTCAGTCCCCACGTCGTACTTGTAAGTCGGAGCAAAGTTGATCGGCATCTCAGTGAACGCCCGCAAACGAAAGCCAGGATTGCGCTTGCGGGACAGAAGCAGCTGATCACGTTCGAGAAGCTTCGCCAAGTTGCCTTGCTGCACAGCAGCGACAACAGTGTTGCGAGGCATCGCGTCGATGCGGTAATTCAGATCGCCGTTCAAGATACAGATCTCGTGATCCAGAATCATGGAACCATCACCACCTCCAACAAAGTAGTTTGCGCATGAAGTTGGGGAGCGGTTCTTTGGTAGTGGTGCGTTCTCCATGATTGCGGCTGCGTCGTTGTTGCGATGTACTGTTTGCGTCTGACCAGCTGCAAGGTGGCAGTTGATAAAGCACAGCGATGAATCGTCGATGAAGAAGCGGACAACGAGTGCACCCTTGTTGCCTACACGACCGCTGAAGCCAAGCTTGATTTCGGCTGCGCATACGTCGCGAATGTTGGCCCGTTCTGAAGCCTTTACAAACACACAGGTGAATAGACCGACAAGGTTGGCCGTATGCAGGAGTACGTAGTTCTGTTTTGGACTGTACTCGTCCAGGACGCGAACAAGATGGTCTCGCCACGCTCGATATTGATGTGACATGTGCTCGCTCTCTGAGGTCTCTTTGTGCTTCTTTCTTTTGAAGATGCTCTTGGCTGTGATCTTCTTGTCTTCCAGATCAACCAGTTCCTGGAAGCCAAACACAAGGATATCAGGCGGATTCTCGGGTTCGAGTACTTCCCGGAAGAAGTTGCGATCTTGCTCTGTATTACGAAGATTTGCGGGTTTGACTGCGCCGGCGTTCCATGTCATGACTCGCGCCGAGAGTTCTCTGAATTCGCAGTACTCCCCATCGCGTTGTTGCATCAGATTTTCTACAGAATGTCAGCATGGCACCACATGATACATGCAGTACGACTTACCGAGCCAATCGTCCTTCATCATGCCATCCCAAACGCGCAGCATTGTGTCTGTGCCAAGGGACGCAACCTGGAACCTATCGAGTTTCCAGATGCTCGTACGATCCGCCAAGATGCCCGCTATCGGCTTGTCGTGTGCCTTCCAATCCTTCAGCACCTTCCAGGGTGTCGACTTGGTGTCGTATACGTATATCATTCCAGTACTGTAGCCAGCCCAAAGGACGTCACCAACACCGACCAGGGAACTGATCTTGTACACACTGACATTCACGATTCCAAGACATTCGAAGCTCTTCTTGGAGTATATTGTAACTTTCCCGTCTGCGTGTCCAAAGTACATGCGGTCGGGCTGACTGCTGATGATAGCACCGGAGGTTACGTCTCCGACATTGAGCTGAGATAACGAACCCTGGGTTAATTGCTGGAAATGGTTGTTGTCCGACGTGCGGGCGTAGACGCGGATGTCTTTCGTCGTGGCTACCCATAATTGCGAGCCTGAGATGATAGAAAAGGTGCTTCCACGGGGGATACGGTAGGTAAGTGGGGTCTGCTGTAGGGACGGGCATCCAAACTCGTCAGCTGGCCAAATGTGTAGTACGCCGTCCTCATCAAGAGACCACATTTCTGCAGCATAGCGGAAGATCTTAACGATGACAGTCCTAGCGTGTGCGTTACTCTTAGTGTGCACTACACTTTGCGTGGGGATGTCAATCTCATGCATTTCGCCTGTGTTCGTTCCTAGCCATAATCGCTTGCCTTCGTCTTCCACATCTTTCGCTGGCCTGAATGCAATCGCTGTGGCTTTGACTGTATCGCCATGAGCTAAGCTCATGAGTAGTCGCCCGTTCAGAACGTTCCATACGTTCGTCACGTATCCGGTTGTACATATGTAATCGCCACAAATTGCAAAGAGCTTAGTCTCGTAGCCGGTGGGGATACCGGCTATGCCGTCTGGGAACACTGGTGGTCTCCGATTCGCTTGTGAGGAGTCTGGGTAGTCCGTTAAAGCAGTCGTCGGTTGCTTGTCTGCGCCCGTATCTTCTTCATCCGAGTCATAGGTATACGGCTGTGATAGCTGCGATGCCTGCGCAGTAATCGGCTGTGACGGTCTTCTCATTTCCCCCGAGTTCCGTGGAGGCGGTGGTTTCGGAGGTTCTAACGCTTTTCCGGGACTAGCGGATATGGCACCAGTTGTGTTGGTCCGCCGAGGAGGCGGCATGAACTTGTTGTTCGCTTCTTGCACCATTTGCCCAGGACGGGTTTGATCGAAAGACCGTCGGACTGGCAAATCAGGAGGAGGTGCTCTTTGTAGTTGTACACTCTTCCGCAGATCGAAATTGTCCTTCTCTCGTCGCGTAGGTAACGATGGGCGGTCTTCCGGCATGTCAGTCGGTGATGGTGGCGGCATCGTCTTCTTCAGGGCCTGCTTTCCTGCTGGCCGGGGGTCCGCAAATGGGTGATTTTCGGCGACAGCGTGAGATGCGGGAGCAGGTGCGAAGTAACCATTGTTGCCTCCAGTCATCTTTGGTTTCGAGAAGCCCGGGATGACTGGTGGAGACGATTCGCCCTTGACGCTCTCTCCACTACTGCTAGGTGGTGTACTGAAGGGAGAAATGTCTGCAGCGTCTGATGTGGCTTCGGGCGCCAGATTCGCACGAGCTGGTAAATCCACAGAAATCGACTTTGGTGGTATCTTTGGTTTACCCGCTCGGTTCACAGGCGGCGGTACCGGAGGCGCAGAGGACACCGGTCGATCACCCTTTCGCGGGTCATTGGCGGGGCCGTTGCCTGTGTGGGCTGGAAATGTAGGTTTCGCGTCCGTAGCGGGGGTGCCATTGCGACTGGGCATTTTGAAGAACCTCTTTCCGGCAGACACTGCTGAGGGCGAATCCAGCGCGGCGTGCTGGGCAGGTCGCTCGGGCTGCGGCGAGAGTATGGGAGAAGCGGAGGACTTGGGCGGTGATCTTGGTGACTGGACCGTAACCTTTGGTGGGGACCTTGTTGGTGACCTGGGCGGAGAAAAGGCCATCATCGACGTCGGTCTCTGCTTTGTATTGCCCCAGAGCGACCTTCCGAGGGTGTTCGAGCGCGGCGTCACTGTCCCACTCCCACTGTAGTCGGCCACACTGGGCGAGGGTCTCTCAGCATAGTCTCTGGGCATGTCCAAGGATATGCGCCCATCCGTCCTCCTATTGTCCTCGGGCATAGCAAGACGATTATTGGGGCCGGGCGAGCGCTGTCGCGGAGTGGCAGGCGCGGCGGGTTTGTTTGTACTGAGGAGGTTCTCGAACTGGGCGCGAAGGGAAGACACTGGCTTCTGTGCTGGGCGTCAGCAACATCTTCGTGCTGGGAAGGAGCTACTCACTATGGACGAGTCGTCCATGTTCTCCTCCTGCTGGTTGTCCATGATGATTGTTTTGTCGTCAGCCGGCACCGGGAGGTATCCTATAGCTGCGCATCGACCAGTGAGGTCTTCTTCCCATTTGGCGCTTCTTGTGAGGGTGGAAGGGGAGGCTGTCGCTCGCGGGCCGTCATGCAGCCAGCGCTACGGAGGCAGGATCCAGAAATAGCCTGTGCAGTAGTGTTTGTGGTAGTGGATACGGTGGCGGTGCGATGTGGTAGAGGCCCGAGTGACTGTAGGGCTCCCTAGCGGAGACGCGTATACTGCCTGCTAAGAATGTTCGGCGACAGGGAAGACCGGCGACAGCGCGGGGGTGCAGGTGTTTCGCAACTGTCGGAACGCAACGGCTATCGCGACTGCTCCCCGTGTGCGTGTACGGTCAGGTGACGTTCTGGTTTGCAGGCGATACAAAGGTTCTCCTGGGCTGCGTTGGGCGCGGGCGGCTTGGAGCGGTGTTGTCGTGTCTGTCTACTGTCATTCCCCACAGCGCAGCAGCACGGAACCCTGCACACCACCAACGGCAAGGCGATCAGGCACCGGCGAATTATAGACGAGCATACAAAACGCCAAACTAGCCAGCCTGCAGCCGTCAGTCTGTACTCCCATAGCGCCGTAGTCTCCCTTCACCGACACCAGCCATGTGGTAAGCACGCGTTTCTTGTCGCCTCCGAGACTCCCCCGCCATGACCTCCGCGGCTGGCTGATGCCCATGTAGCAGACACATCCTCAACGCCCAGGTCTCCATCCGCTCGCCTTGCTGTACGTCGCCCGTGCTGAGATGTATGCGCTGAATGCTGAGAAGGGACAGGCAAGAAATGGTTCGACTGCGCGGAATGTCACCAGGAGCAGAGCGACCACCCGCTGCAGCAGACGTTTGACATGGTCTTCATCTGCAAAAAGTGCAAGAAGGCCTTCCGCAAAGATGCGCGCGAATTTGAGGACGCGTAAGAATGGAATGTGTGTTTTTCATGTGGCGCTGGCTGATGAGTGGTAGCGACGAGTACTGCCCGCACTGCGACAACCATTTCGTCCTAGAGGCCAAAACTCCCAAGGCGTCGCTGCAAGTCGAGGGCGAGGATGTGCGAAAGGACGCCAGGTAGGTCGCCTCCCTGGTCAGTGACGGAATATTGCTAACAATTCTGCAGGATGCTCAAGGACGAACGTGTACGAGCCGAAGAGATGCGCACCATATTCGATGTCAAGGAAGCACCGGACAAGTTGGGCTGAACCAGTGGGACACCGCGACATACAGTACTATGCGTAGCACAAGCTACAAATCCGTAGGGCGGGGCCCCTCACCCAAGAACATCACGCGACGAGCGAGGGGTTGGACGTGGAAAGACACTTCATGGTGTGCTAGATTGCCATTTATGAGCACTAGCTGGTCGTATCTGCATTATACAGAATCATAAAGTCTATCACCCGACGCCACTGCTGTTCATGCCTTTTCGCCATCAGTCGTTAACCGTGCCTCTATGCACCACCAGATCCTGAGCCCTCAGCTGGGGTCTGGCGGGTGAGAATAGCGGCCTGGCCTGTACCGGGCTGCCGTCCAGGCCTCCTGTTCGCCGCCTCTTCCTGCTTCTCTGTGTTGATGTTCTCCACGTACTTCTCAATGTCCTCAACGGGCAACATCTCGATGGGCTTTCCGGGTGCCATGATGGCAATCTCGATGTTCTTCGCGCCAGTCTGCACCACCTCCAATAGTGACTTGACCGTCAACTTGATGGTCTCTTCCCTGTCCATCCCTTCCTTGTGGTTACGTTCGAGGAACTCGCGGACTGTCTTGCTCGACCGGCCAATCGCATTTGCTTTCCTGGGTAGTATTAGCACAGAGAAGTGTAAATTTGTGTATGCAACCTACCATGCTGAGTAGATACCAGAAGGCTCGGTCTGGTACAAGCGCGGGGTCTTGTCATTAGGGTCGAAGCCGACTATCAGTGTGCTGATGCCGAATGGTCGGACACCACCACTCTGAGTGTACCTCTGCTGCACACCTGCAACGTATTTGGTGATGTACTCTATCGATACCGGGTCTTCGACTGTGAGGCGATGTGATTGTGCTTCGAGGCGGGCCTTGTCGACAAGGATACGGGCGTCGGCGTTCAGTCCAGCGAAGGCGAGGGCAACGTGGGTGTCGACGAGGCAAATCTTGGAGGGTGTGATGCGGGTATCTTGCAGCTTCATTGCGGATCGCTTCTCGCAGCCGAGTACTACTATGTCCGAGCCCTTGACACCAACGGCGCATGTTCCTGGGGCGAATGAGCATCTGACGTTCGCTTTCTCCTTCATGTACTACGCACCTCGCTTTACTGCTTCGAGCGCATATTCGACCTGGAAGACGTGACCGTCAGGACTGAAGACTGGCGGAGTTAGCTAGGCCCGCATCTCCAAGTGTTGGTTGTTTGTACCGGAGAGAGCTCGATCGTAGCCGGACGCCATTGTGAAAGTGGATGTATGGTAACCTGTAGGCTCCTCGTTGTTTACTTGTATACGGCGACGATGGCTAAGAAAAAGCGGCTGGGCGAAGAGGTACGGCTGTCGTCAAGTTGCTTGCGGAGCTCCAGAGCTGTCCGCGTCGCTGCTCCCGCCTAAACCACGCCAAGCCATCTGGCCCGTGCCTACCCTGTCGAATTAGGTCATCATGGTAGATATTCGTGAAGGCGACTTGACTATTTCCGCCGCCCGTCGCATTTCTTCTCCGGTCAATTGGGATGGCATCTTCAGCGCGCTTGGTCTCGTCACTGCGACGAACTGCACTCTCTTCTCGCGCCGCATCACGCTATCAATATTTGCGACCAACAAGTCAAGTGCGATGGACGGGTAGTACGTCAGCGACTTCGGAGCCTCACCAGCCAGACGAAAATGGCGGAGTGAAGGGCCCGACCGCGTCGTCAAAATCCATCAAGTTCACTTCCGAGTCGTATGTGTTGAGGTTTGGATTTTTTGGAGGGATTTGCTAACGCTACGCAGATACCCGCATCTTCAAAGAGACTCTAAGTTCGCCAAAGTCAGCGAGGAGCATGTTAAATATTTTCGAGACCTTCTGGGTTCCGATTCGGCCATCATAGATGGTGTGTCGAAAGATGCATCGGATGATATTGAAGCCTTCAACAGCGACTGGATGCGCAAGTTCCGTGGCCATACCAAACTAGTCTTGAAGCCCAGTTCCACGGAAGAAGTCAGCAAGATCCTCAAGTACTGCAATGACAACATGCTCGCCGTAGTACCTCAGGGCGGTAACACTGGACTTGTCGGTGGCTCCGTGCCTGTGTTTGACGAGATCGTGATCAACATGCAGAGGATGAACGAAATTAGGTCCTTCGATGAAGTATCTGGTATCCTCGTCGCTGATGCTGGCGTGATCTTAGAGAACGCCGACAACTTTCTCGCCGAAAAGAACCACATCTTCCCATTGGATCTCGGTGCTAAGGGCTCTGCCTACATTGGTGGTAATGTTGCGACAAATGCCGGTGGTCTCCGTCTCTTGCGGTACGGTAGCTTCCACGGAAATGTCCTAGGCATTGAGGCAGTCCTTCCGGATGGTACCATTGTAGATGACCTTTCGACGCTCCGGAAAAACAACACTGGTTACGACCTGAAGCAACTGTTCATCGGCGGAGAAGGCACTATTGGCATCATTACCAAGGTCTCGATCATCTGCCCGAGAAGGTCACCCGCCGTCAACGTCGCGTACTTTGGGTTGGAAAGTTACGAGCAGGTCCAGAAGGCGTACATTGAGGCGAAAGGGCACCTATCTGAGATCCTGTCAGCCTTTGAGCTGATGGACGGTCGCACACAAAAGCTGGTCAACAGAGTCACCGGTAAGAAGATGCCTCTAGAGGGCGAGCATCCATTTTACTGCCTGATTGAGACCAGCGGCTCTAACGCCGAGCATGACGGCGAGGTAAGCATTTCATGGTACGAACGAGACCGGCCGCTAACTTGTCTAGAAATTGCAAGCATTCCTTGAACACGTAATGGAGACCGAAGTCGTATCCGATGGTGTTCTCGCCGAGAACCAAACTCAGATTCAGGAGCTCTGGTCATGGCGCGAAGGCATCACCGAGTGCCTTGGTCACGATGGAGGTGTCTACAAGTATGACTTGTCGATCCCCATCGCTGAGCTCTACGATCTGGTCAACGAGACACGCGATCGCTTGACAGAGGCTGGCCTGCTTGGCAACGACTCCTCGCACCCCGTAGTTGACGTCGTTGGATACGGTCACATGGGTGATGCCAATCTGCACCTCAACATCCCAGTCAGGAAGTTTGACAAGGCTGTAGAGAAGAAGCTCGAGCCTTTCGTTTACGAGTGGGTACAAAAGCGTAATGGCAGCATCAGCGCTGAGCACGGCTTGGGAGTAACGAAGAAGCCATATATTGGATACAGTAAGAGTGAAACCATGATCAAGCTGATGAAGCAAATCAAGGATCTATACGACCCTGTAAGTGGCTGCTCGAGCTCGATCCGGTTTCATCATGTGCTGACTTTGACAGAACGGCATCATGAATCCGTACAAGTACATATAGACAGACACTGCAGCACATCCAGTAGACCATTCATATACACATTTTTATCCACCTCAAATCTTGCTCTTCCCTTTTCCCAGCAGCTTAACCGCATTACCCTGATAGATCGCATCTCTCTCCTTCTCTCCAAACAAACTCTCCAACCCATCCCTCATCCTCTCTGCAAACGCCTTCACAAACTGCGTCTGCGTAAAAGGAAAATCACTCCCATACAACAACCTCTCATACGAAATCTCGAAACCCTCAACAAACGCCTTCAACTGCCCCTGCCCCCCACTCTCTCCATCAAACACAAACCCCGCGAGATCAAAGTAAAACTGTGTATCGAGCTGCTTCCGCACCGTCGAAGCATTCAACACCCTCCCGCCCGGCACCACGCTGGAGAACTGGATGAACCGTGTCATAAGTGGCGGTAATGCACCGCCAGAATGCGGGACGATGAACTTGATGTTCGGACACCGGTCCACCGTCCCCGTGCTGAAGAGATTGATAACCGCCCTCGCAGTATCGAAGAAGAATTCGAATATCGGAACGGGGTATTGTTCGCCAAAGGGAAGGGCGTCTGTCGTCTGAACCGGTTCACCAGAACCCCTAACGCAAGGTTTAGTCGGATGAATGAAAACCGTCGCACCGATCTCATTCAACTTGTCAAACACCGGGTCCATCGCTCCATCTCCCACGTAAACCCCATGGTAATTCGTGAGCAGACCAAAACCCTCAACGCCTTCCTCGACGCACTTCCCTATCTCCGTCAAACTCGCATCAACATCCGGTAATGGCAGTGCAGCCCATACACCAAATTTCTCGGGATATTGCTGCTTGAGAGATGAGGCATAGGCGTTGCATTGCCGTGTTAGATCGATTGCTAATCCTGGATTGCGCAGGTCGATATTTGTCCCCGGGCTGGAAATGGAGAGGATGGATTTGGAAACGTTGGCTGTTTCCATCATTTCAAGGTGTTGGGATGGAGACCAGGGAGGGATCGCGGGCATGCCGTCAGGATGGGAGTGCCCGTTTTCGGCGAGGGCGGTGCGGTAGAAGGGTGGGAGGAAGTGCGAGTGGACGTCTATTCGTTGGGGGAGGGGGTGTGTCATGTTGGCTGGGGGTTGTTGTAAGAGCGCTGTGGTTGTGTGTGCTAAGAGGATGATTAGGCTGGGGATGGATGGGATCATTGTGGTGTTACCTTTCTGAGATGGAAGTGATGGAAAGATCAGATCAGGTATATTTACCGCGAGTCGATTTGTGTTTCTACTGGACTTTCCGCTCTTGTCAGAAGTAACGAATGCTATGATTACTTATGCAATGCAATGCAATGCGCGGCACCTGCATCAAGTGATCCATTGACATCCGGCACCCCACTCCGGTCGTTGAACTCACAGAGCGAGAGTATCTGGACCTCGGGATACTCATGCATCTCGTTCGTTGGAGGTTTGTAGACTGACGCTGCGCTTCTGTCATACGCGATCATATCGCGCGCGCAAGATCATCCAGCAATTAGACTCAAGTATAGGAAATGGCAAGATACGGCGTTCAAAGGGCACTTTCCATACGAAAGCTAGATAACCTGTCCGACCGTGTAACAGTCACCCTAACCAATCTTACGTTCAACACCATGTAACTTTCACTGACAATGAATTCCTTGTCGGATAGTCATGTCGGTGCTTCTGAATGCTCAGTGTGGCACGCATGCGCCGATAAAGGATAATGATCCTGACCGTCGATCGCGTGCCCCACCCGCGCCTTCCAGATGAGCGGCGGGTCAACTTTTTGATTCCATCACTTGCAGCCATGACACAACGTCGTCCGCCACACCACCTTTCCCGACACCCTCGGTCGCACCTTCACGATGGAGCGGATTACGGATAAGATCAATGCGCTGCCCGATGGCGCCAACTACTTCTCGCTCGAGTTCTTCCCGCCCAAGACAGCCATGGTGAGTTTGCCCCGCTCGCACGCGACGAATGTGGAGGGCTGCAGTACGGATGGGGAAAGAACATCGCGAAAGAAGATTTGGTCGCTAATGGCTCTCTAGGGATTTGCGAACCTACAAACACGTTTAGAGCGCATGTCGCAGGCTCTCCGACCACTCTTCGTTACCGTCACCTGGGGTGCTGGCGGATCAACAGCCACCAAGTCGCTCGAACTCGCGGAGATATGCCAGCGCCAATTGAGCCTCACAACATGTCTACATCTTACGTGCACGAATATGAACCGCCAGCTCATCGACGACGCGCTCGAACAGGCAAAGGTGCTGGGCATACGGAATATCCTGGCGCTGAGGGGTGACGCGCCACGGAGCGACGAGTACAGGGATGAGGGAACGCCGCCAGAACAAGACTCAAACAAAGACTTTACGTGGGCGATTGACCTGGTCAAATACATCCGGAAAGAGTACGGCGACTACTTCTGCATTGGTGTCGCTGCGTATCCAGAGGGCCACTCGGATCAGAGCCATCCCAAAGACCAAGATCCGCTGCACGACCTGCCATACCTGATTGAAAAGACCAAGGCTGGCGCAGATTTCATCATGACCCAGCTCTTCTACGATGTTGAGGCGTACGACAAGTTCGAGAAGATGCTGAGGGAGCACGAGAGTGGAGTGTTCAAGACGATACCGATCATACCGGGGCTGATGCCAATACAATCCTACAAGATCTTGCTCAGGACGACGAAACTATCGCATGCGAAGCTACCTTCCGATATGCTGAAGCGACTGGACGCGGTAAAGAGCGACGATGAAATGGTGAAGCAAGTTGGCGTCAAGATTATGGACGAAATGGTGGAACACATCAAGGCGCGGCCGGATGCTTGCAGGAGAGGTTTCCATTTCTACACGCTGAATCTAGAGAAAGCCGTGTCACACATCGTGGAAGACACCCACCTCATACCATCGACTATCGAAGACGACGACGATGTCATTGTCGAGACCACGCCCGCCATCAACCTTGAGCCACCACCGAACGGCACAATGCCGCGCAGGCGGCGATCATCTGCTGTCAACTCCGGCCCGCACAACAGAGTAATAATATCACACCCGTCTGCGGCCAAGTCAAGCAATCACTCGTACGAAGCTACGGAGGAGGAAGCTGGTGTACCAAGGGGTCCGATCAACACCCGGGCGAACACACTGGCAATCTCAGAGGGTGAAGGCTCATTGGGTCGCGAAGCCACTTGGGATGATTTCCCTAACGGTCGTTGGGGTGATGCACGTTCGCCTGCCTTTGGTGAGATCGATGGCTACGGTCCAACGCTCCACGTCTCAACACCGCAAGCTCTCAAGCTCTGGGGCCATCCCGTCGAGAAAGACGACATCTCGAAACTCTTCCGCCGCCATATCGAAGGAGATCTTGAGGCCATACCATGGAGCGAACAAAGTCTGTCTCCCGAAACCCTGACCATCAGCAAGCAGCTGCTGGCCCTTAACGCAAAGGGCTGGTGGACAGTCGCCTCGCAACCTGCTGTCAACGGCGTCAAGTCTACCGATTCCGTCTTCGGCTGGGGCCCCAAGAACGGTTACGTCTTCCAAAAGCCATTTGTCGAGTTCTTCATCCCCGCCTCCGAATTCGCCATTCTCAAACCTAAGCTCGACGCCCATGAGCAAGTCACCTACTTCGCTGGTAACGCCGCCGGAGAGTTTGAAGCTAGTCAAGAGGATGGAGTAAACCCTGTTACTTGGGGTACATTTGCTGGTAAAGAGATTGTTACGCCTACTATCATCGAGGCTGTCAGTTTCAGGAGTTGGCTTGATGAAGCGTTCAGTATCTTTAGGGAGTGGCAGAGGATCTACCCGCCGAGGAGCGCGAGCAGTACATTGCTTGGAAAGCTGAGGCAGGACTATTGGCTTGTTAATGTTATTTGGGGTGATTTTGTCAACGGCGAGGGGCTGTGGGAATTCTTGGAACAGTAGGCTGTATTGTAGATGTAGGTATGGGAGCTTCACGCAGTTAAGGTATCGTATGCGCTTGTTGGAGAGTGCTCTGTTTGCCTCTAATGTTGATCACATTACGTGAAGACACCACAGTCCTTGTACTTGTTATGCGCGCGCCGGTCATTTGCTTGCGTTGGCACTTGCCCCCAAGGCTGGAACGCCACTTCCCTTCTATTGGAGTCAGCCTGGACCAGGAAGGAAGCGCCCCTGCCCCGCCCTGCAGACGCGCATCACGACGTGTCCATCTACACCGTGCTCCCTCTTATCATACATCGCTTGTCCAATTTCCATCGACATCGCTTTTGCACGGCCATGAGAAATGGCTCATGGCAACCCCACAAACTCTTCACCATGGACCGGGACTCTTTTGGCCCCATTCGCTCGCAGGCGGTATCGTACGGTGCATGATCTGTATCGTCAACCACCGGAGACGTGGCCACGCCAAGAGGAGATCTCGACAAACAAGTCTGGAAGCAGCGAAGAAGAAGGAGGAGAAAGCTCACACTCCAGTGAAGACGACGAAGAAGAAGAAGAAGAAAGTTCAGAGGCCTGTGAAGACAACGAAGAAGAACAAGAAATCGACGACTCAGAGGATCACGCCAGTAAAGAAGATACACGCCTGCACGCCAGTTATCGAATTACATACCCAGTCGATGATGATCAGTCGACCGCAGATGATGACTTTATCGTTGTGAAGGAAGATTCGACCCCGCAATCAGCCATCGCAGCTTGGAACCGCAACTTCAGTGGCCAACCTCAGTTGGAACTGGCGTGTGAGGACGCACTTCCGTTCACTATAGGACAGAGACTGGGTGGCGGCGGTGTCGGGGTCGTCTTCGAGACACACATTGAAGGCGTGCCTTTGGCCTTGAAACGCACTTACACACGCCGGATTTCTTCTCAGCAGCTCAACGAGATCAAGATCCTTGGCCGAATCTCAAAGCATCGCCACCGTCATGTTGTGGAGTTGATTGGGTCTTATCTGCATGAGCAAAGAAGGGGGTTTGAAATTGGCATGTTGATCTGGCCGGTTGCTCGAACTGATCTCGCAGTGCTACTTCATGACTTTGAC